TTTCTGCGTCATAGTTTCCTTTCTCTCATATCTTTATCATTATCAAAGACCTTTTTCGCTATATAATCTATCTATCACTCCATAGAGTTTTTTGTTTCTCTGGAAAAAGGAAAAATAACCGTTTGTTGTGTGGTGTTCGTTTGCTGGATAGTCATAAACCGATTACTGACTAGTTTTTGCCTATTCACTGGATTTTTCACCTTTTAAACAATTTGTGGTAAACCCATTTTAGCTTTTCCTTATTTTCATGAATAAATTCTAATCTCAATTGATATGAACACATTCTCAATTAGTTAGTAACTATCAAGGCTTACATTAGATGTTAAACTTAAAATTGGCCACCACCCACCCTTAAAGTAATTAAATTATTTAGGCAGTTCATGGGTATAGGCTTTTGTTTTTGCATCTCTTTTGTTGATTAGCCTATAGACGTTTAAGCGACAGTTCTCGGACTGTTGCGCGTACAAGTACGTGCGGCTTGCCCACAAACGTGTGAAGGGCTCCTCATTTTTTTTCCTCCCCTAAATTAACTATCCAGTTTGATGGATTTTTTGAGGAAAACCTAGCGTAGCTCTGTTGTATCCACAACCAGAGGGCGAAAACGCTTTTATCACGTATCACGTATCAATTATTACTTATATTTATTATCAAAAGCATTTATTATTAAAATTTTAAAATTATTAACTGTAATATATTATATAACTGTCACTGTCAAATATGTCTGTAAAAGTGGCATTTTATCTAATATTTTATAAATAATTATATTTTATAAAGGATTATAAACTATTTATCTACTTACTTTTTACAAATAAATATCTTATACTCATTTGGATTTGGGCCTTGAAAATAATTTTAGGAAGAAACCAATGACATATATAATACGTAAACTGTCGATTCATTCATTAAAATGCATTTTTAAGCGTCTTTAAAAGCAAATCAGCTGGACCCGCCATTTTGGTAACACATATAGTAATTATTTTCATGTTAAAAACTACTATTAAATTGATAACTTGCTTCCTTATTATCTCGATGATCCGGTAATTAATAAAGTTTGCATCAGATATATAAATTAGGCTCTCGTTTAAATTTTATAAATGATTAGTGTAACCAAGATGGCGTCTCCAGCTGATTTGCATTGATGTACACTTTTAATGAATGAATCGTCAGTCATATGTCATTGGAAGAGACATGATAAAATTTAAAAATCAAAATGTAGTTGATTAGAGATTTTGAACTCGGTTAATTACAATATTAAATTTGTTAATTTTCAATTAATAAATGATTATATTTATTTAATTAAGGTTATATAATATTTTAAATAATAAAAGTCAATTAAGCTTCAACTGTTAATGCTAAATTAATATTTAGTGAGTGATATTGATATATTTTTAACACAGAATTTGATTGCAAGCTGACATAGTGAACATATAATTTATATGTATTAATCTAATCTAATAATTAAAATAGTATTCATTTAATAAAAATTTAGATAGTTTTATTAATTTTTAAATAATAAAATTAAATCTATATATCAATAGAATTAGAAATCGTTCAGGAGGCAATTAAAAAAATTTATTTTTAGTTCAAGGGGATATTAAGGAGCAATTAAAAAAAAAATTTGCTTCAGCAGGCTATTCAAATTTTTTAGGGCGACACCATTTGTTGTAACGATTTTGATCATCCTATTGAATCTGTTTTCTCAGGTTATTGTTATGCCAGGTGTTGTTTCTATAGTAGTTATTATAGTTATTATCATCGATAATTATAATCTCTAAAGTTGTTATTGTTTCTAAAATTAACATTATTGCCATAATATCTAAAATTGTTATTATTGTAACTCCTACTCCTATTATAATTATTATTATACCTGTTGTCATAATTTTGTTAAAATTGTTTCTAAAATTATCATTAGAGTCAAATCGATTATTAGATCTTTTATAATTATTTTTGTTCTGTTCTCATTCCTGCAATTATGTCTAGGAAAGGTATTGTCAAACGTATTTTGGTGAAAATTTATATAAATTCTTTTGTTTATGGTCAACATTGTTTCGATTATGGGATCCCTTTTTATAAGGTTTTTTGTCATTACTCACATAATTTTTATTATCATTATCTGATTTAATATTAATGCAATCTAATTTTATTCATAATTGTACCATTTCATCTAAAGTTGAATTAACATTTTAAATTTATGTTTAATATTGTCATTTATAGATGTCTTAAGTTTTTCCTTTGTACGATTATCGTCAGGAAAAGCACATTGTCAACTAAGTTTGGATAATCTTAAGTACCATTCTAGATGTGCTTAAGGGGCAAAATAAAAATTGTTAATTAAATCATTTATACCTTCCCTAGGTACCAAATATCTAAGTTTTTTTTATTATTAAGTTAAAGTCCAAAATTTATATGTTTGAACATAAAGATCTGATTTTGTCATACAAATCGTCTGATAAATTGCTCAGGATTGTATTGATTTTAACCGAATCGGACGATACTATGTCCGAAAAAAATTGGGTCAGTGTGTTATTTTATATGTCGGTGATGTTCCCTTATAATTTAGGAAACTTATGCTGAAAGTCATAATTTGATATCGTTTTTAATTTTTCATCCAAAAAACAAATTTAATGAAGTTTATAAATTTTGTAATAAAACACATTATTTTATAGTTTGTTAAAATACAAGTTAATTGGATAAAATCTTCGTCATTCAAAATGTAAAATTTTCCAATCAATTCATAATATTTTAGCATGTCCTTAAGTTTTTCAAAGGTAAAGAATACATCGCAAAAGTTTGGTATTATAATATTCTAGGTCTCTAATCCCAATGATCTAATAAAGTAAGTCACAAATGTAAATATTACTGGTAATATTAATTAAAAAGAATCTTCCAATAAATTTTTTTTTGGTTTTTTTACCTTTATATTTCGAATTTTTTATGTTATGCATAAATAATTATGAGACCAATGAGCACTTTTTTTCGGTTCCTCACTCGGTTCATTATGTAAAATGGTGATCTAAAACTATATGATAATTTATTTTTTAAATAACTAAAAATTATAAGTCTAAATGTTAAAATGTTTTAAATCTATATATATAATGTATAAATTGAATGAATAAGTTAACAAGAAGGTTAAATAAATTACAAAAATAAGTTTAACAAAATAATAAGAATAAGCTTTGCAAGATAATAAAATATAAAATGAATTTATTACAAAAATAAGAATACATTAATAAGTGAAATTTTAATAATAATTCTTTAATAATACTATCGTGAATATATATATTATTTTTATTACATAATTAAAAAAAAACAACGTTTAATATAATATATTTTTTAACAATTTCAATCGACACTTCTTTTTTTCATTTTAAATTGATTTTAGTTTTACCAAAATAATGTATAAAAAACTTTTATTTTAAGGATGAGGTATTGAAAGAGTTGGATATACTTAATTGAAACATCTTTTACTCATTTATTTTATTTTTTATTAGATAATGAAGAAAGAAGAAATATTGATTTTGAAATAAATGCTTTAAATAATAAAAATAGAAGCAATATTTAAGTTAATAATATTTTTGACAAAAGAATAAGGAAAAATGAAAGAGTTGGAGTTGAACAAAATACGTTTAACATACAGTTTTTTAATTTCAAACTATGCTTTAGATAATGAATTAAGATTAATTATAGTTTGAGCAAAGAGTTATAAAAATTGAAAGATAAAAAGGTAAGGGAAAGTAAATAGGCATATTAATTTATACAAAAGATATTTTATTTATAAGATAATAGAAGCTTTAAGCGGTGCTGAATCTGAAGATATCTCTGATGGTATTAATAAATTTTCTAAAATATTTTAAAAAATTAAATATAGGCATGGAATCTGATGAGAATACTATTGCAGGCCTGATTGCCGGTAGCAACACTTTATATAAAGATACATTAGATAATGAAGAAATAAAGGAAATAAAGGATAATTTTCTAAATCACTTTTGTAATTCAAATTTTTTTATATATTTGAAATCACAAATATTTAAAGCTCTTTAATATTTAAAACTCTTTAATATAACAAATTATAATATATATATTCTGCAATTGCAGATAATAAATAAACTGTAACAAATAAATAATATTTTATATTAAAAAATATTATCTTTAACCTTACAAATTTGTATTGTTTTTAGTGATCTGCATCGGCTAATTTTTTAAGTCCTGTCCGATCTCGAAATTTTATAAAAAATTTTGATGGCCAGGCCCAAACCCGTTTTTTATAAAAATTTTCCTGTGGGGTCCTCTGCGAATTTATTTAAATATTAAAATTAATTTTTATAATTACTCAAAATAAAAGATTTATGTTATTTTTATAAATAAAATCAAATATTTTTATTATACATCAAAAATTCAACATAAAATTCATAAATTTAGATATATTTTAAAAATTTTTAAAGGCCCTACCTGAACCGACATAAATTTAAAAAAAAAATAATATACCCGACCCAATTCGAACCCTATTTGTTTTAAAAAGGCAGATATCTAATTGTTTTATGAGAGCTTGTGGAAAAATGCATTTTTAAAATAAAATCGACCATTATCAAAATATTTTTTTAGGCAACCTTGCTCAGATTTTTTTGTGATTTTTCTAGCGCAAATATATTTTCTTTTTTTACGATATTGAAGTGAATTAATTTTAAAAGCAAAAAAATTTTTTAGATATATATCAAAAACTAAATCTGGAAAATAAATAAGATCTATGATAATTTATCTACAAGATATTTTAAAAATCGAGTTGAGTTCAAAAAATTTTAAGGTATTAATTAAACTACTAACCAATGCTTCTAACTGTATTTAAAAATTAAAAAGTATTCAATATATAAATGGTCTATATATTTTATATGATAAAATTTTTGTACAAAATATAATAGTATTAATATTTAAAGTATGATTTACTATATTATATTTTTTAATTTCCTTCATGAATTATTGTTTTAATAGAAATTAATATTTATTGTGAATAATTTACAAATATATGATTTGTTAAATAAGACGCCATTTTTTATCAATGTCTAAAATGGATATATCTCGTATGATATCCTTAAAAATCGGTGGTCTTTCTTATCGAACAACCCACGATGATTTAAGAGACGAATTTGCACGATATGGGGATGTGGGAGATGTTTACATTCCAAGAGAACACAATTCAAGTAGAAGTAGAGGCTTTGCCTTTGTAAGATTTTTTAACCAAAATGATGCAGATAGAGCGATGCGTAAAATGGATAATAGAATGCTTCACGGACGTCCTATAAGAGTTTCTATGGCTCGTTATGGTCCGCCCAGTTCACTCGTTACTTCTCTAGCTAGGCGCCGTGAAATGAAAAGAACTAGGAGCAGAAGTAGGAGTAAAAATCAAAACAGAAGCATAAGCAGAGATAGAAATAGACGCAGGGAAAGGACCCGGAGTAGGGGTAGAAATTCTAGGAGCTCTACCCGATCAACAAGAGTTAGCCGTGAGCCAGAGCGCAGCAGGTTCATTTTTTAATGAATATATTTGATTCATTCGTATATTCCTTATATTATAAAAATATAATAATTAGTGAAGGCTGAGCATTGAGTAAAACTTACCTATTTAACAAAAACAGTATTTAGTCCTGTCTTTATAGTTTTTTTTCATCTAGTGCTATCTTTTTGTTCAGTACCATTAAATTTTGTAAAATATTTATGCAGTTTTATTTTATATATATCACATGTTATGCAATGTTAAAATAAATTTAATGAGATATTTATCTAAAAACAATGTTAAATATTTTTGCAATTATATGGCTAAATATGGCATCTTATTATTTTGATTTTTGACTCATAAAGTTTTTTATTCTATTTATAATGCCTGTAAAATTAAGATTTGCTCAACTGATCATGATATCTATATAATGGCTACTTAATGCTAATTACACTAAGGAAAAATTTCAAGTAAGAATTAAGAGAAAAACAATATTAAGTTCAATTATGAAAAAATAGTTATTAAAAAATATACAAATGAGTGGATGAGATCATTAAAGATATGGATATATGATTTTAACTTTGACCAAATTATAGAAAATAAAAAATGTATTTAAAAATTGACCCAATATTTTGATATTAACATTTGGTCTGGTTATTTATATATCTGTACAATCCAATTTTTGACCTTCACTAATTTATATATTTTTTTTTTATTAAATTCACTTTTAAGCTTATATTTTGCACAAATCTAATGTTTATTACTTAGAAGTAGAAGAAAATTTAATAGAAGTGTATCTAGATCATCATCCAGAGGTAGAAGGCAAAGAGGTAGGAGTAATATATCAACTAGAAGGTCAATTTCAAGGAGAAGAAATGGTAATGACCGTGACAATAGATCATTTAAAAAAACAAGATCAAATGATAAAACATCAAGTAGAAGTGTTTCTAAACAAAGGTATACTCGAAATAATAATAAATCAAAGAGGTCCACATCCTCTGACACAAGTGTCAGGAAAAAAAGTAGATCTGCTTCTAAAGGAACACCAAAACGTTCCTCAAAAAGTACAAGCTCAAATAAATCAATTTCCAAGCCATATAAAGTTAGAGTAAATAGGAGTTTGTCTAGAGATAAAAGTGTGTCATCTAAAAATAGTGATACAGTAATGAGCCCTGAAAGATTTAAAAAAGATAGTAAAAAAATGATAAATGGTCGTATAAGCTCTGAGCATTCATCAAGATCTAGTTCAATCTCTAATCAACACAAATTAGAAAAATCTGATTCTATAGCTAATGACACAGAAGCAAATGACAAACTATGGAGCCAAAATGACACTAATTTGGTTGGGAGTGCAGAGGAAGATAGAAATGAAGAGATAAAAGAGTCGTCTGTTGAAAAAGATGCTGATTCAATCAATGAAATCCATGTGGTGTCCCCTAAATCTGATAAAATAGAAACAGTAATTGATAAAGATTCTGATGATGAAAATGATAATGAAATAGATGTTAACAAAAAGTTAAAAAATAAAAAAGATAAAAAAAAGAAAAAAATTTCTAAAAAGGATAAAAAGAAAAAGAAAAAATTAAAGAAATTGAAAAAGAAGAAGAAAGAAAAAAAGAAACTTAAAAAAAAATTAAAAGCTAAACCTAAGTCTAAAAATGACTCTAGTAATGAAGAGGACATTGATAAAAATGGTTCTCAAATTGACGAATTAAAGATTGTTGCCAAAGATATAGATAAGCCAGAAGTTGGAGATCATGAAATTGCTTTACCCAAAGAACCATTAGTAAAAAAAACATCTAGCAAAAAAAAGTTGAAGACTAAAAAAGTAAATAAAAAAAAGAAAAAGTTGAAAGGTGGCAAAAAGAAAAAAAAGAAACATAGTTCAACCTCTTCTGATTCAGAAGAATCATCCAATTCTTCTACCCAATCATCAACATCTTCAAGCACAAGTAGTTCAGATGATTCCTCAGACTCTGATTCTGACTCATCTAACAATTCAACTTCATCTCACAACTCAACCTCAAGTGCTGACCTAGCACCTTCCCCAAATCATGATATTAAAAGCTCTGATTAAAGTAATGCATAATGAGATATATTAAATTTTAAAATATTTTTTATTTTCATTCTTTAAAAACAGTTAGCAGAGCAATCATTCATAGACTTATGCCAGACACCTAAAAGAATTGATAAAGTCTTATAAAATGGTATATTTTTTTTCTTCATTTTTTTATTAGTGTCATTATATATATTTTTAAAACCTTATTTAGTAGGCATTTTATTTATATTGTATATCATTCACATTACAATTTATTGATTCCTTGTTCATAATAAATTGCTCTTATGACCAGTATGATGTAATTATTATATTTGAATATATATATTTTTTTACATGTACATATAAATAAATAACATCAAAAAAAATTCAATCGTACACCGTAAAATATGCACGTTACAAAGTTCGTACATATATAACATACGTTTAACGAACGAGAAGGCATGGCTAGGTAATATTTGCGCGTTTAAAAATCGTTTGGTATCTATCGTTATTGGTCGATCATGTGCTTTTCTTCACCTAACCATTTTTTAATGCGAATATTCGTTTCACTATCAAAAAAAACGCGTTAAGTTATTGCTAAATATTTAGGAAACGCATCGGGGTTGTGACCTACCAATCTAGATGCCGCGACGTTATAATTTACATGAAAAGTTTTATCTTTCCATTCATTATCTGTTATTTTAGATTAAAACGTTCAGCACACTTTATTTTATATTGTGAGAACAGACAAGACGTGAGTTTAATATTCCTAGTTATTATTTTAAATAGCTTATAATTGAGTTTAAATAAACTTTAGATCACTTGAATTTACCTTTATCACATACAATAGGTGGTTTATTTTAAGGCTTCTTACGTCACAGGTCGGGCTTAGAATCTTACGTTTGCGATTTGCGTTTTTTCATCCTTAAATGGATGATAGCAGCATTATGATAAAGATGAAGGTTCTTTACCTTACGTATGAATTTACCATATGCATAATAAATTATATATTATTTTTATAAAATTATTATTAATATATTTTCAATAAAGTAATTATGATCTTCAACATATGTATTTATTTCAATGAATGGTTAACATGCTTTTCAATTAGGTAACTTGATATAGCATATTAATTAATAACAAACTTAAATTCAAAAAGAGAATATGTGTTCAAATGTTAATTGTAACAATTTTAAACAAATAAATTTAGAGGAAAAAAATTGTTTATTATAAATACCCCAAAATAATTAACGATATAAGTTTTAAAAATTAAATGAAATTTCTTTATTTTAAAAAATAGCCTCATCTGCACTTTTTAAAGTTTGATGCAAATCAAATGATATTCACTTTATTGCATTTTAATGTCAGATGTTAACCAAATATTATGAAATGAATTTAATTGACATCAAGAATGTGTTTTTATTATTTCTCTTTTTGTTTGGTGGAAATTCCATTAAATGATTGAATTATTATTTTGTTCTTATATTTTCATCAAAATTTTCTATTTGAGAAAAAGGAATGAGAATAAATTATGTTACTACATCATAAGTTAGTCCACCTGACCTGCAAGCATAGCCAGTAAAAGGAGATATGGGCTTGCTGGACAAAATATTTATAATATAAGGCAAGACCATAATTAGATAATGCTTAATGCTAATAATGACAAATTTATATCCTTTTCCTTCGTAAAAAAATATTACAAGTCAGATTGGAATATATTTGTGAGCTGAACCTAGAAAATATTATCTGTTTGCTAAAAAACCCAATAAAAATTTATTTTCAATTTGTTAGTCTAGTTAGGTATGACCATATAAAAAATTCCCAAAGATTCAAATTAATAAAGTTGACAATCTTGTTAATAATAGCCCATCAATTCTAGTATTTTTAAATAATCAAAGAATTGAAATCGTAACTTGAGCTCAGCTGATTTATAAATTTTTTAAAATCTTGTGCATATTTTCTTATTCATAAAACCCACTGGATAATTAGATTTTTAGTACAATTAGTTTAAAGATTTTTGTTATTTCTTGTATTCAGATTTTATTTTATATTTCAATATTTTTCAATACCATGATATCTATATCAATAAGAAAAGACATTTATTCATTATTCAAATTAATATAGGAAAAATAAATGACAATGAGTATGAATCTTTACTTTTGACAAAAAATCTTTAAATTCGGTAAAAATATTAGAGAAAACTCAAAATTAAATTATATAAAATCACCACTTGTTCCTCACCATTAAAAAATAATATAAGTATAATTTTCTGGAAACAAATTGCAGATTTAATGACAATACCTATTATAGGTAAACTTTTATTAAATTGGATATTTTATCTTTTGTAATATCTTGAACACAATTTGATAATTAACAATATCTTTTGAATTTTTTAGTATAATAATTATATTATAAGCAGAGTTGTAAACCCTACTCTTAAAAGTAACGTGCTATCACTATTTGTCCATGCATATTATCTGGCTACTTTTTAGATTAAAAAAAAATTGAAATAAATTCTTATTTTTTGCTTATAATATAATTGTATAGAATATAATAAGAAAAATCAACATTTATAAATATTTAAATATAGTTATTGATTAAAATTTTTTTTATTTAAAAAGACTAAAATTAATGTAATAAAAATAACTATTTATGGTAATGTATATTTTATTATGCTGCATTTTAATATTAAAATTTTTATATTTTTCCCAAGTTTAGAGTGATGATCAGAAATTATAAGTTTAGCGTTATTAAATCTCAACACTAGCACTTGAGGGCAAGCAGTAAATAATTTTATATACATATTTTTAATATAAAAAAAATACTCATTTGATTAATTTTATATATAAAAAACGCGTCTAGTGGATTTTCTATTAAATTAGTATCCTTTGTTTCAAAATTTTTTTTAGTTGAAGTCGTTTTTGTGGTTCTAACTAAGGCGTCTTTGTGTGCTATCTTTTAGTGCCTGGCAACGAAAAATTGTTTCTATAGAGTTTTTATCATGGAAAATGATTATCAAACAGCCAGTTTCTGAGAATATTGTCAGGCAATATTGTTAATCAATTTAGTTAGAATTGAATTGGTCTTTTTGAATGTAGTCTCCCACATACCAAGATGTTTTACTATCTCTAAAACTGTTGGCATGAACATTCTTACAAAATAAAAATATGATTAGAATTTAAAAATGATAATTACTTTTAGGTGTTTTTTGAGTTTATATCTACTATAGGTTTATTTGAGGATTTTAAACCTTTCGCTTTTACATTAATTTGAAAATATTTTCTTGGAAATGGAAAAGTTCTATTGTTATCAAAAACATTTTCTTCTAAGGTATCTTCCACATGATTAATTTTATCATTGTCTGATTCACTTACATCGATTTCGATATCCAATTGCGATTACATTTTAAATAATTTACATCAGATGATTTAGGTTTATAATACAAATTGAAAATATAAACTTCAATTTCAAAAAAATTAAATCATAAAAATTATGATTTTATATTTCTGTTTATATTCATTATATTTTTTAAAAATTACTAAGTAGTGCACTTTCAAAAAAAGAGGGCGCTAAAAATAAATATTACAAAAAATAGGCTTAAAAAGTGCAAATTTAAGAGAAAAAAAGATTCAAATTAAAATTGGACAATTTTTTTAGGGAGCCTTAAATATTTGGCTACACAGTGCTGGTAAAGTAATATTTGTTTAAAATATAATTGGAGGAGCACATTTAGCCATATCAAGTTCGTAAAAATGGCTCTGGGCTAATTTTTAATCATAAATTAAATTAAACAGACTAATAAAAGGATCATTTTTTATTCTCTACTTATCTCCATAAGTGGAACAGGTTCAAATTTTACTGAAGTATAGGGTACTCATATATTTTAAATTGATATCCCCTGTGGCCATTTTATAAATCACTACCTGCTTCTGAGTTAAAATTATATTTGCTTTTTCTATTATGCTAAGTTAAGACTCATAACAAAATCTGGGAAATTAGAATATTGAGAGGTTTAAATGCTTGTTCAAAAAGTCTCAAATGTTCCTAATTTGATTCCCACACTTAAGACTTTAAAACTCTTCAATCAGACGATGTGTAGGCTTCCTCGATCGTTGTTTCTAGTTCTCGAGGTAATTAAAACCTCTTGTGAACCCGAATTTTCATCAGTATTTTCCGTGTCGTCGTTATCTCATTCTATAGGTTATTTTCCAAATTCTCAACTATTTCCGACCCCAATTTTTTTCGTCTCTCCCTGACTTCTCCATTTCTTTCGTTACATCTCGTTTTCGCAGTTTATTAACATGCTTTCATATCGTTCTACTTTCTACTAAATAGGAATATCGACCTTTTCAGGATTTTATAATTCCTTCTTTCCAACCTGAATTGATTTCACCATGTACCCACCAGCGTCTACATGACAGAATTTTCACTGGATGCAAACCCCCAGTGGCGTCGCTAGGGGGGAGCGCAGGGGCTGAGCCCCCTGAAAAATTTGAATAGCCTCCTGAAGCAAAAATTTTTTTTTTAATGGCTCCTTAATATCCCCTTGAAATAAATTTTTTTGATTGCCCACTGAATGATTTCTTTTATAATTCTATTGAGTAATATATAGATTTAATTTTATAATTTAAAAATTAATAAGTCTATCTAAATTATTCTTAAATGAATACTATTTTAATTATTAGATCAGATTAATGCTAATAAATTATATTTTCACTATGTCAGCTTGCAATCAAATTCTGTGTTAAAAATAGAATATTAATATCCACTAAATTTTAATTTAGCATTAACAGTTGAAGCTTTATTGACTTTTATTATTTAAATTATTATATAACTCTAATTAAATAAATATTAATTGAAAATTAACAAATTTAATATTGTAATTAGCCGAGTTCAAAATCACTAATCAATTATATTGTTAGTATTTAAATTTAATTACTATGCCTCTTCTTAAAATTATTTTCAAGGTCCAAATCCAAATAAATATAAGAGATTTATTTATAAAAATAAGTAAACATATAGTTTATAATCCTCTACTAGATATAATTGATTCTAAAAGATTAGGTTAAATACCACTTTTACAGACGTATTTGACAGTTATAAAATATATTACAGTTAATATTTTAATTAATCTTACTAATAAATGATTTTGATAATAAATATAAGTAATAAATTACTTTTAAATATTTAACGCCATCTATTTATTTAGAAATATTTTTAAAAATATAACATCTTATTATTTATCCCAGAATGAATGTAATAAATGAGATAACTTTTAGGAAAGCTATTTTTTTTATCTGAAAAACAGTTTTGAGTTAAATTTTTAATACTAGTATATTTTTGATATTATTACAAACTACTACTATTTTAAGAAATAATATACCAACTAGAGGTGGTGCGACAATAATATATAAAATCTTAATAATCTTAATTAATTCCTTTTTTCATATCATATCACCCTGGTTCTTATTTTATAGTTACAAAATGTTTCATTTCTAATATGGCATCCCTGCCTTGTAAATAACTTAAGGCATCAATACATTTGCATAATTTCTTCTAAAGATTTTTAGTGTTTTTGTTTTATCAATTTATCTAGCATAATAAATTCTGATATAAGTTAAAATAGTGAGTGTCATGGCTATGACTGCGAATTAACCAGCATCTATTATTTGTGTGGCTATGTAATTTAAGATTATTATTACAGCTGCTGAGAGCATATGATTGCATATTTTATGAGCAATAGTGGTCAACTGTGTAGTTGTTTATATATCATTAAAAATGCAAGATAATTTTTTAAAAATTTAATATCTCACAATTT